CAGGACATGTTTATGGCCATAACTCATTAACTCATTCAGTAATTATGACACAATTTAACTCGAATGTCTTTAAGGATAAAGGTCAAAGGTCACTTCACTGTGACATCATAATGTTCTGTAAAAACAGTTAAACAGAGTTAAAGGGTTAAACATGCCGTGTTGTCCTGTCACCACCCAGGTAAAAACAGCCCGTCCAGCCCGGCGGTTCGAGACCTGTTGGACCGACACCAGGCCAGTCTGGGTCGGTCTCAGTCCTTCTCCCACCAGCAGCCGTCGCGATCCCACATCATGAGGTAGGACAGAGTCCAGACAGAGAGAGGACACTGTCCCAGGATCTACCTCTAATCATGTGTGTGTGTGTGTGTGTGTGTGTTTGCACTTCAGGACGGGCAGTGCCATGGAGCGACGGGCCATCACCCCCCCCGTTGGCTCTCCAGTGGGTCGGCCGCTCTACCTGCCGCCACAGGACAAATCGCTGCTGTCGCTGGACAAGATCGCCAAGAGGGAGTGTAAAGTCCTGGTGGTGGATCCCGTCAGCTAGGAGTGAGGAAACAAGGAGGGAAGGAAGCAAGGACGGGTGAAGGGACACGGAAGCGCGGAACACACAGAGACTCTGTCTGAGTTGAAAGCAGAGAGGAAACGATCTCAGCTCTGAAACTGAGTCTGTGTTGAGAACCATCAGCACCAACAAACAGAAACTCTCATGTGCTGGATCAAGTAAGAAGAAGAGACACTGAGATGATCAGACTTAAATACTTAATGTGATGTATTATCATCTTCCTGTATTATTTAAAGAGAGAACAGCAGCACTTTCTGAGAAAAGGTCAATAAGCTTTAATGAGTTTCACTAATGCTTCATCCATCAGTTATAAGCCATTAATAAGAACAGCGAGACGTCTCCAGTGAACTGATCTTATCCATCAAGTCTGCAGCTGTAAATGTTAATAATCTGTTTATCGGTAGATTTTTATCCAGATGTTCTGCAGCTGTTTTCCAGCAGATCCCTGGTCAACCTCTGGAGAAGTTTCCGTCGCAGTTTCACACAAAATAGCAGCGACTGTTTCAGAAACTTTCTGTTTCCACTGAGGTTTGTTCTGAAACAGCTGTTTTTTTTCCTGGTGTGAAACATGACGACAGACTTCCTGCGGTCGGCCTCGCGCTCAGACCCGGCTCCTGATGCAAAATATTACTGTGTAAAATCAAATCGAGACAAATAGACAAAGTGTCTGCTTATAACTGATGAATAAAGTGTTAGTAAATGATTTAATGAACATGAATAAATTCATTAATTACATCTTTATAACTGAGGCCTCACCAGAAGGTGACACTGGAGGAACAGTAGTTTCAAACAGTAATAATCACACAGGAAGTAGAAGTTTGTTTGAATTTATTTCAGTGTTATTGTCAGACTGTTCAGCAGGTTTCAACACTTCACTGAAATGTGAAATATAATGTAAATATAATATAATGTAACAGGTGATCACAGCTTTCCTTCATCTCAGTCTGAACCGTTTACATCAGACGTGTTTCTTCAGTATTGAGTCGTGGTCGGTTCTCTGGTCCAGAGCTTCAGACCATCACGGCTCCCAGAGGATGAACCCACCGGCTTTGGTGACGCCATGACTTCTCACGTAGCGCCACCATGAGGTTCACGTTGGTGGTTGTTAGTGAAACGTCTGAACATCTGCTGGATGATTGTGATGAACTTTGGTTCAGACGTTGAACATGTTAACATGCTAACATGCCAAGCTAAAATGGTGAACATTAAACCTGCTAAACATCAGGATGTTAGCATGCTGTTAGCATTTAGCTCAAAGCACACTGTGTCTCAGAGCTGCTAGCACGACTGTGGACTTTTATTTTGGTTTTAAAAACGTGATTTTAAATTCTTGGAGAATATTATATTTTTGTCATTTTAATGTCATTTCAGTGCCACTGCTGTATTATTATTATTATTATTATTATTATTATTATTATTGGTTTTATTTTAGACAGTTGTGCCTTCAGGTATTGAAGAAACCCACAACAAACTAAATACAATGCATGAACAAATGAAACTTATTTTTTGAGTTGAAGAAATAAAAAGTAACGTTAACATTTGAAGAAAGATTGATTTTAATGTTTGTTTCTTTTTCTTTTTTTAATTTAACAATAAAAAATATGGAATTAGCCCAAACCTCTACAGACGGCTGAATGTTCCACCTGAAATGTTCTTGACCCTGATAAACGAAACCAGGTCTCACAAACGTTCACTGGTTGGAGGTGTGACCTTCACTCTGAGCAGTCAAACCTCAAAACAAGCGAATGGAAATGGTCCCAGTCACATCAGCTGCATGTGACGGCGTCAGTACGACAAATCATGACGTCATTTCCAAAGCAAGTCAAATGTCTGATGTCTTTTTCTTAATTAATGTCTAATTTCCACATAAATCACTTTACAGAAATACCAATCACAGTCAATGAACTGATTGATAGATTGACAGAAAATGAATCTGCAGTAATTTTTCCATCAATCAGTGAAAAACACAAATATAACTTTTGTTTTTGTTTTTAAAATGTCAGAAACTTCTGAGGCTTTAACAGAAGCAGGTCTGTTTGTGTCGCAGCGTTTACAATATGAGAGTGATTCATTCATTACATTATCTTTATCATAGTTAAAAGAACATGCTGTAAAAACTTCAGACTTCAAAACAAACCTTATCCAGTAGAAACATAATGAGCGTTGAACTCACTGATAATCACACGCAGCTTTTTTTTTTCTTTCAGAAAATAATCACATTAAAAATAATCAATCAAAAATAAACGGTGTTGGACAAATGTTAGTTTAAATGGCCACGCTGTTCTCGATGCGTTCGGGACACAGGTAAGGATACGGCAGCTCCAGACGGCTGTTTCTCTCTGAGATGTCTCCAGAGATGGTCCTGAGTTCAGCCTGCACCTCCTCCACCAGCCTGCGGTGGGCGCCGTCTCTGAAGATGGCCTCCTTGTAGTGACACAGAGGAACCTGCAGGGGGAGACGTGCAGAGGTTTAATCAAGACACTAAAGCAACCACTGTTACATCGTCCCAACCAGGCAAAACAGGGGCCCCAGACCCCCAGGAGCCCCAGACCCCCAGGGGCCCCAGACCCCCAGACCCCCAGGAGCCCACGCCACATCATGATCTATGGATCTACTTTTCTCACCACTCTTCTATATCATGTGTTGAGTCCTCCATCCTCCACATTGTGGCCCTGGCCTTGTAGAGAGACTTAAATCTAAGACCTGAACTGTCTTTTATTTGGATAGCACGTAGCGTTTAACTTGTTAGCATGTTGTTTAGCTGTAACATTTAACATGCTAACATGGTGTGTTAGCTACTGCTAATGTTTGGTAGGTAAATATGAAGCCAACAGAAAGGTTAGCATGTTAGCGGATGTTGTGCTAGCATGTTTCCCATGACAACTGATCACAATCAGAATCAATATTTTCAGGTGTTCCTGCACATGTTCGTATTAATAATTGTTCAACTCTGATTTCAGCAGCTCGTGAAGCTAGAACAATAATTCACACAGACATTTTGTTGTTGCCCGAACACTTTAGTAAGAAAATCCCACAGAACAACAAAGATCAAATCTGAGATGTTTTCATCAGGATGAGGTGCGTTTGACTTTTCCGTGTGTGTGTGGGTGGAGCCTCACAAAGTTAGCAGAGGGCTGTGACAGCTGAGCCAACGCCAACAGGACGCGACAGCTCGAGCTCACGTCGGGCAGAGAGGAGATGATGTCATCTTCCGTCGCCAAGCCTTTGACCTGCGGGGGAGGACGCAACATGGAGGTCGGACAGTTTGGCATCCAGAGAGCGTAGTCCAGCTGCAGGACACAAAGACAGGAGACGAGGAAGCGCTGACCTACAGATGGTTTGTTCAGCAGCACTTTCAAAACGTACTTGGCAGGTGATTGGATGAACCACCTATCAATCATGTGACGTAGCAGAAGAGGAAACAACACAACAACAAGCTGCAGTCTGAGGAGCTCTGAAAGCTAGTTAGCATGTCAGTAAGCTGCCACTGGCTCCTCCCTCACAGGATGCTGATTGGTCCAGATCACTGTGGTTCAGAGCAGAACGCTGTTCAAGCTACAGATGATCCATGAAAACAACGTCTTACATGTGAAGGAAACAGATCATTACTCCAGATGTTTCATATTCACGTCAAAATGTTGGAGCAAACATCAAGACAAAGTGTCCAGAGGACGAAGACGAGAGATCTCAAACTCCCGGCAGCTTTAACGGAGCAGCATTTAGATCTGTAACTGACGCTGCTGCAGGACAGTGTGACACGTCCCACTGTCAACACATGACCCTCGGTGACCTGTCCTGTAGGTGCTGGGTCTCTGTGACTCACCTGGGAGAAGTTTAAGGCGGCGTGTAGAGCCGAACAGGTGAAGACGATCATGGTGACGAACTGAGACACTTCTGCTTTGGTCCGAAAAACCTGAGGGAAACCTGAAGGAGGAGAGCAACACAAGCTAAAGCTACAACAAACAAACATCAAACAAACAAACAAACATCAAACAAACAGGCACACACCTGAGTTGTGTGTGAAGCCGTGTGTGTTGATGTCAGTGATCCAGTGATGGAGCTCAGAGTCCTGCTGCACCTCACTGTCTGCACTGTAATACAGATCCACCCAGCGGACCACGAACCTGCCCCACACACACACACACACACACACACACACACACACACACACACACACACACACACACACACAGAGTGTCTTTCAGCGGATCAATACAGCGTCCTGGACCAATCACCTGGCTGAGGTGTGTTTGTTTACCTGTGCAGTGCGTCCCAGACTCTCAGAGCGTCCTGGGCGTAGTGACTCTGCGGCAGCTCGCGGACGCCGCGGTCGGACAGATCGTCAGGGACACACAGGGACCGATACTGGATCCTCTGTGAGGCGCGGGACAGGAAGACAGGTAACGCCTTCAGACCGCAGCCGACCGCCTGGAGGGACGAGACCCGCAGAGGAACAGATGACTGCGCTATCAATAATATTGATTAATACCTCATCTTCTAATGGTTTATAGATTAGTGATGAGTCATTAATAAGAACTTCTGGGTTGCCAGGTTGTGTGAAATCTGGGAACTATTTGACCACTGAAAACAGCTGCAGAACATCTGGAACAAACTCCATTTATAAACTGATCATTCACATTTACAGCTGCTGACTTGATCGATTATTGAACCTTTTACTATTGATTTCTAAATGGATTGTGTTCCAGATGTTCTGCAGCTGTTTTCAGTGGTCAAACAGTTCACAGATTTCACACAACCTGGCAACCCAGAAGTTCTTATTAATGGCTTTCCACTGATCTATAAAGCATTAGTAAATTACTTATTAACTGTTATTAAGTGTATTAATCAAAATATTATAAACTGCCCTGATCTGTGTAATAATTCTGTCACCTTATCAAACACCCCGTCAGCAGCCAGCAGCGACACTCGCGCCTGGCAGTTTATCTGGAGCGACGTCCTGACGTGGGGCATCAGCAGCTGTCCATCCAATCAGAGAAGAGAAGACAGATCATTACAGGACAACAGGTTGGTTTCGATGTATTCATTAGTCTCCTGTGTGTTGGGGGGGGGGGGGGGGGGGGGGGGGGGG